AATATTAATAAATTAAATTTAAACAGTTACAAAAATTGCCTATATTATTATTATGAGAATGGAAAAAATATTTATCATTTTAAATGATATAACCTTATATCATTTTAGATCCTAACCGTTGATTTTCGTTCATCAACGATTATAATTTATTGGATCAAATTTTTTAATTAATTAATAATAATTTTAGTCCATTATAAGTTTGACCCAATACAACCAATTGAATCATTAGGCAATTATTAAAGGGTTATGATGGTCACATCATTTACGCCTCTTCCCACTTGTATTCTAAAAATAGGTCCAGCCAGTATCCCCCACCCGTGGGTTCTATTTCTATTATTGAATTTGCGATTTCGGCCAGAATTGTTTAGACGTCTACCAAAACATATATTGATTCTAAATTCATTTTTTTATTAAAAAAACACCAATTTTTGCATATTATTTAAGTGATTACATATAAAAGTATCTTGGGTTCATATTTTTTTTTATCTCTTTTCTTTTACTTTTATGCATGCATAGAAGATAAAATTATTGTTTACAACATGAGAAACAGTAATCTCATTATTCAAATAATGAGGAAGGTTATACTTATAACCTATTTTCGTTTATAACTTCTTACAATCATATCTTAACCATTGATTTTCATCAATCAATGATTATTATTTATTACGAATTAATAATTAATTAATAAATTTAATTTATAAAAATAATAACTGTTGATTCACAAAAATCAATAATTAAAATATAATTATAAGATATTATAAATAAAAAATATGTTGTAACTTGTCACTATCACCTTCCTCTTAAATCATATATATTTTTGTTGTTGTGTGAATTAAATGAGATCACACACTCAGCCCATCAACACTTTAAGATCGAGTTAATGTCCTTAATATTATGGCTGAAAAAATTGGCCAACTTGATCCACCTGGCCCATTCTTTGTTTGACCTTGTGTGCTATCCGATTTGACAGTACAGTTCATCTATCCACAAGCAAGGGATAAGGGGATGCTACGTTTCCACCATTCGCACTTGTCATTTCAACTGGATTTCACGATTTTTTTTTTGGAACATATCTTTCAAGAAGTTTTTTTAACCTATCTTTCAGGTAGATCATATTTTGAATTTCCCATTGGACAGCTAATTATATATGAAGTTCATTTGTTTATGCTATTTTTAATAAAAAAATTATTTTAAATTAAAAATGTTTCATTTTTTGTTATAAAAATAGATGATTTTATTTTAAAAGATAAAACCTAAAAAATAATATTTTTTTAAAAAGTTAAAGTATATACTTCCTAAAAAAAACCTAGAATAAATTTCATAAAATAACTTTAAGAAAAAATCGAAACAAACGCACAAATGCATCTTATGTGTATTGCTATTTAGTATGAAGAGCATCTCAAGCATTTCACTTAAAAGCACAATGCATTAGATATTGGTTAAAACAATTCATTTAAAAATAATTGCCTATACTCATTATTCATTACCAGCTTGCTACTTAATATTCATGAAACGTCTATGAAAATCCTTTCTAACAAAATAGTATTTTCCATATTTGATAGGATGCCCATAGGTTTTACATACTCATACTGGCATGCTCGTTGTTTTTTATTAATGCGATCCAATCTAAAGATTGACCTTTTGTTCGTCAAGTGACCAATCTTGTCATATGCATTCAGAACGTGCACGGTTCTACATATGAGAGAATTTATTGTGATCTAGGATCACATTTTTTAGGTGGTTCTTTAGTGTAAATAGAAAGGTAAAATTGAAAAAAAAATAAAAAATAATAGGGATAAAAAAAATTAATATTATGAAAGAAATCACCAAATTATTGGATTGGATGATCCTGAAGCATATTAGATATTTCCTGCACAGAGTACCAAATCTAGCGGATCTGACCAGAAAAAAGATAAGCATATTGGTTTCGTATGACATCTCCATGTCCTTGCTTTGACTCTCTAAGCTATGACCATTTATTAGGTCGGTGAGAAGAGAATAACACTTTTTGCATATAATTGTTAAAAAAAATCTTTGATGAAGTGGAGCATTTCGATACTATCACAGTAGGTACTTATCTGGTAAGAGAAGTAGAATACTTGGGATGCTGTATGAACCGATACTTCAAAAATTCGTATAGGTTATGTTAGATATTATTCGATATTTTTTAACATTTCAAAGATTATGTGCATTATATTTTTTTTTCAATTATTAGATTCGTTAGTTTGTGATGATTATTATTGAGTTTAATATAAAATTGATGTGTATTATAAGTTTAGTTTGTTTTTTTATTAAATTATTGAATATTAAATATAATATACACTATATAAATTAAAAAAATTATTTAATATTAAAATATATCCTAATGTGTTAAAATTTAACATTTTTTAGAATTAATGTATCGAAGTATCATGTCATATCATATCCCGTGTTGGTGTAACATAAGTTTGATGTTTTCCAAATCCATGAATTATATCAAGGGAAAACAATTTATTATATTATTGGAGAAAATATTCCCTCTCCTACACAAATAAAAAGATGGGTTTTTGTTTACCAAAAAAAAAAAGCAAAAAAGATGGGTTTCTTTAGTTTTTTTAAAAAAAAATAGTGAAACCACATGTTTTATTTCTATGACACAAGATAAATTATCTCATTTAATATGAGATTAATAAGCCCATTTATCAATGTGTTGATAACTTATAGAAGCAATAGTATGGATAAGGTTTTGGAAAGTTTCGGTGTTATCTCACGGAAACTAAATTTTTCTAAATTTTAAATTTACGGATATTATCATAAACTAAAAATCATATTTTTGAAAATTGAGATTTCCGGCTAAAAAATTTTTCTCCTGTACCAAACGCCCCCTAAGGACAAGGGGAGATAAAAAGAGCGTGGTAATTACTTGTGAGGTCATAATTCATTAGAGGTTCTGCAAGTAAAGTAATGGAGAAGAAGATGCCTCGTCTGGAGAAAAATTATCTCGTATTCAATGGCGAAGCCAGGACTTTTTTTCCGGGGGTGAAAAATCAAATGTATAAACCAAAGTAAATTGGGTTAAGATTTTATTATATAATTAAATTTGATAATCCTGTCATTAGGTCAGTGTACATAAGAAGATATGTCAAAGTAAATATACAAAAGATATGCCTAAGTAAATCAGGGTACTTTAGGAGCCTCTAATGCATATCATTGGATGCCCACCAATAAAAAAAAATTCTTCAAAATTTATTCTTATGGAATTTTTATTTATTTTTCACATCTTGCGGGCAGGTCATAGTTTGGGAAAAAAATTTAGTGCTCTGGGCCTATGTGCTCCTTTTATTAAGGGACTAACACTTGATAAAAAAAATAATTTTACTCTCTCCTCTCTCCCGATTTTGATTGGTTTGAACCACTGAATTAAAGATGGTCCTGGAGCATCAAAATTCTTCTCCACGGTTTGATGCCGCGACACACAAGAGAAATGCATCACATATGTGTGGCTGGACAAAAATTATCGTAAACATCTAAACACAATAATAATTAAGAACACACAATTGAGAGATTAGAGTGCTCGATATCATAGGCAATGTAATTCTGCATAATAACACTTTCACTGAAGTCCATCATCTACACACTAAAAAGTTCTCCCATAGTAACCTCTGCAACGAGGGGTATTTAATGGTGTGTGTACCTTCGTTTTTAGAGATCTGATGAAGCTTTGAAAAGAGATGTTTTTTGACAACTATTAGCCGCGCCCTTGTTTGATTTTTTTTTTCCCTTGTTCTTGTTCTTTAGTGGGTGGAGGACCACTCACCCTAATAAATTTTTTCTCTCTAGAAATTTAAGGAAGGCCGCGGCCGCCCACCCTAGTACCCCACCCTCCCCTTCCCTCCGCCTGTGCTCGTATTTATAGAGTGAATAAGATTTTTCCAAGCGAGAGCAAACTTATGCCATAATCGTTTTTAGTTCAATGGGTCCGACGATGATGCGAGACTGTGTAACTCCTTATGCAGAAGGGTCACGTGCGTCAAATACATGACATATGTAATGCATGAGGGGCTAAGTATCTTTTGGTGCTAAGTGGTTTTTTGCCTTATCGATCAGTTGAGATGGCCAATTGAGGTAATCAATTGGTTCAAAACAATAATTATTTATAAAAACAAAATTTTAAAATTCGAATCACGAGATAGTTTCTAACAAAATAAAATTATTTTTTTCTAACTTTAATAATTAATGTACCGAAAAATTAACTTTTAAATGAAATGATGTGTAAAGAACCTTGGGATCCATTCCAAAAGCTAGCTCAGAGGGTGAGAGTGCCCAAGACCTTATAAACTCCACATTAGTTGCACATACAACCAATGTGGCGGGACTATATATCTCAACATGATGCATGGAATTGCTCCATCTATTTGGTTTTGGTTTTCGTTAAAAGGATAGTTTCTTCGTCTACCATTCATGAAAGCATATAATAACTTGTACAAAGTTACCTGGTAGCTCAGATAGTGTATATGAAAGCTGAGTAGATGAGGATGAAAATATGTGTTCGATCTGTATCATCTATGGGAGAGATTTAAAACTTTAACTCTGAAATTGCCAGAATTCCTAATTAGTCCATAAAAAACTTATCAAGGGGAGACTCTAAGAAATAAAAAAAAACTTGTCCAAGTTGACTTAGTGTTATATATACAATTTATATTAATTTTATACTTTGTGCTAAATAAGAGTATATTGTGACAGCCGACAAGCAGACGGTGGTTTTTTATTTTTGATGGTGAACGAAGGTAATTTTACTCTGCCACTATCAATCAGCACAGAGCAAGTTGATATAAGACAATAAATGCTGCTTCAGTTACGTAGCCTACAATTCTTTACCGGTCAAGATGGATGAGAAAATTGGGCTAGAGAACAAGAACAAGCATTCAGTTTATATTTCTTAGAGATAAGAGTGAATTAATAGAGGCTACTGTCCCAACCACCAAGTTGAGGTCTCCTTCCCCTCCTATATATAGAGTATGCATTCCCTCTATTTTTCTCATCCTTCATTACCAAACATCCCCAAATTCTAAATTGTTTACAACTGAAAAAATGAGTTCGAAGGTAACAGTGCTCATCCTAGGCCTCTTGGCCATGGTTCTTCTGATCTCCTCAGAGGTGGCAGCTAGGGACTTAGCTGAGGCTTCCTCTAATTCAGAAAAGGGTGAGCTTGCATTTATTTAATTTGCTTTATATATGTTCTCATGAGCATTTTAAATCAAAAGTGGTTACAATATTACAAGGGGATTCCTATTCATTGGATGATTATATATGTTAATTGACACTCATCACCACCAAACTGATAAAACTTGTGTAGAGTAATCATATATTAATGTTAATTTTCTCGGCATGCAAATGTGATGAAACGCATCATTTGATTTATTAATGGTTCATGCATGTGTTTGCAGCTGAGGTTGTTAAAGAGACAAATGAAGTGGGTGATGCCAAATATGGTGGATATCCTGGTGGGGGCAACCCTGGTTACGGTGGTGGGGGCAACCCTGGTTACGGTGGGGGTTACCCTGGCCGTGGTGGGGGCAACCCTGGTTATGGTGGTGGCTACCCAGGTCGAGGAGGACATGGAGGAGGGTATTGCAGGCATGGTTGTTGCGGAGGACAATATGGGGGAGGTTGCAGAAGGTGCTGCACTTATGCTGGTGAAGCTGTTGCTGCACAAACTGAGGACAAAACTCACAACTGATACGTACAGTGCATGTTGAGTTGATATATATATATATTTCATGAATAAAATCTCGTGTCGTGAGAGGCATAGATAGACAGCTAGCGAGGAGGCCTATGTGTCTCTACTGTTTCTGATCTTTCTTACTACTAGAGATGTTTCACAAGTGGAAATAATATTGTGTCTGTCTTATGTTTCAGAACAAAAGTATGGTGGATATCTATTATATAAGTTTCTGGTTTGTTCTAAATCGTGATTTTTACTTCTGCTTTTATTTTATTACTGTTAGTATTATACCCTATTTTGAGTTTATCCTTTTATATCATTATGGATGATGACCTTTATTGCCACACCTAATTATTCAGAAAGCTCAGAACTCAAAAAATAGAAGCTTAATTGAACAAGTTACAATGCCATTTCCCCTTCAACATGTGGCTGATCAACTTAAACAATATAGTTTTCTTTAAGCCGGTAATTACCCTCGTGAGACATTAAACCCTAACCTCCCCCCCCCTTAAACTAACCCCCTAACAAGAGTGAATGCAAAATCTAATAGATATAATTACCTAATGCCGAAATATATAAAATTTTTGGTTAAACAAACGAATTGGAATGGATAAAAAAAATCTTATTTGATATTCAAAATTCAACAATCTAAATATAAGAATTTTATACATTTATTATAGACTAATTACAAAAAAAATAAAATTAAATACGTTTAAAAACTAATAAGAATTTAAAATTATCTGATTTTAATCTAATAAACATTAAACACTAGTACTACAAAAAATTGCTATTAATTTAATAGGAAAAAATAAAGAAATATGTTTTATTTGAAAATTGTCACAAAATAAAATTTGGAGTAGAACAGTAGAGATTTGATTTTATTGTACGGATGCGTCGATTTAGAATGATTATATTAAAATTAATTATGTAAGTTATTGATCAGTAATCACTAAAATTAATTAATTGACTACCTAATAAGTTTTAAATATTTCTAAAGAAAGCTCTCATAAAATAAATATAATTGATTACAAATAAATCAACATTAAATACACTTAAAATAAGAAAAAAATAAAATTTAAAACTATAATATTTCCACTAAAAAAATTAAGCTTAAAAACCACATATGCACGTAATTATGTATAATTCTAAATAAAATTTAGGTGGCATTATAATCAACAGGCCAAACAAAATAAGATTATAACACTACAAAAACAAAATTGCGACCTTTAACCACACTCAAATCGCCACATTCTTTAAAGCAATGTAAAAAAAAAAAAAAAAACCAAGTTACTACATTATTTAGACATTGGATTAGGATTTAAAAAAAAAAATCTGACATAAAAAATCTTATAGATTTTAAAAGAATATTTAGAATTTGAGAGACTTTAAAGACTTTCTTTTTTTTGTAAATTTAAAGACTTTCTTTACAATGAAGATTTCATAAGATTAAATTTTAAAGAATTTTAATAGAATTTATAAGATTCGAGACAATATGGATTCATAAGATTTTAAAAATCATATGAATTTTTAATAAACATTTAAAATTATAAGAGTCAATAAAAAAAGTAACAAAGAAATGTAACGATATTAATAAGAAAAAGTAAAAACTAAGGGAAAAAAGTATCTAATGTTACTTTAGATAACTTTATCTAATGTTCATCGAAACGACGTCGTTTTAGGATTGAAAAATTAAAAAATTAGAATGATAAAGACTATTATAACCCTGAAATAAATTAAAATTACAAAAATACCATGATTTTCGCCCCAAAACAACGTCGTTTCGATGAACATTAGATAAAGTTATCTAAAGTAACTTTAGAAAAAATAAACCCAAAAACTAATATAATTTTTTCAATTAATAAAATTCATGATAAAATTTCATTTGAAATTTTTTGCTATTGATTTTGTAAATCTTGGGATTTTTGTTCTATGTGATGAAAGTTTTCTAATCATATTTATATGCATGTTTTCATTTATTATTACAAGAAAATTTCAAATCTAAATTTCTGGATTTTATTACATGAAAGTTTAAAAAATTTCTCAAATTATTTTCAATCAGTACATTAAAACCGTTTATGAAAAAAAAGTTTGTAGTGATATATTGATACAAAAATTGTTTAAAATTATTTCCTAAATTTCGTTTATGAATGTATTGTTATAAAACATAGGATTCATATTATGAAAGTTTAAATCTTTCTTTTGTTTTACTAATGTAAAACGAAAATTGGTTTGGGAGGTTCTTATTCCCCTATTATTTTTCACTGTTTTATGTTATTTTTAATACAAAAATTACATAATTTTGTGCCAAGAAAATCACGATCAATACCTTAAAAAATTATTTTTTAAACTTTCAAAAGCTCTAAAAAATTGTTTAAAAATCTGCTATTTTTGAATTTTGACGAAGCTCCCATGACGAAATTCGATTTCAAGAAAATTCTAACAGTTAAAATAAAATTCTAAGAAAAACGTCATATTTATATTTTTCATTAAAAAGTCTTCCGAACGAATTTTTGAATACCACACGATTTTTAATAGACGTCCTATCTATTTTAGGACGTTCCCCTTCATACAACAATTAAATCACAAGAACTAAGTTCATACCTAGGGAACAATAAAATACAACTAACATCAGCATCAGCCTTTTTCAGTCCCAAATATTTCGCAGTAAACTATTCAAACTTAGCAGCGTGCTTTAGTGCAAGGAGCTGTTTGGTGTACTTTTATTTAATATACTACTGATTACTCATTTATTCACTTTTCCCCCAAAGCATGTTGTTATAATACCTACAAAATATTAGAGGAAGACAGTGATGCATAATAAATTAAGATAATTGAGTTCCCTTATTTTAGGAACCTTGTCTTAATCTTAAGAGATTTTATCTTACCTTTAGTAAGTTATTTCTTTCCTCATTTAATTAGAATCAAAAGCCTAGTATTAGTATTTACAAAAAAAAAGAAAAAAAAAAGAGCATACAAGAGCATATTATTCTGAATCTTTTTCTCTCTCTTTCCATCCTTCTTTACCAAGACCCTATAACTTCAACACATATTAATGATTAAAATTACTATTAAATTTCCATGGATACAAAGGAAATGAAAGAAATAAGAAGCAAGTTTAAAAGGACTAAAGTAATATGAGCAAGTATTAAACCAAGAAGGTGCTTTACATAAGGGAGATACAAGTATTAAACCAACAACACGCTCCCTATATTTCATCTGTCAGAACATACCAAGGAAGAAAAAATTAATAAAAAATTGACTTCATATTAAAACTACAAAGCATTAACTAAATAGCACAATTTAATCTTTCTTTCTTTTTCCTTCAAAGTTAATAGGGTACATACTGCAAAAAGAGTAAGGATATAAGCACCGGTCGTTACTCCCATACACATCACTGCACCAAGCCTGAACAAGGAAATAGTTTATGCCATTAGCCAATATAGCAAAAACATTGGACTTTCCCTCAAAACAATGTCATTGTCCTAATCCCAATTCCCGAATTTTGGGTCATTGATAAGAGAAGCAAAGCAAGAAATATGGGCTGTGTTCAAATAAATAAGAGTTATAAACAATGAAAGCTAACTATCCCCCAGAAAAACCAACACTATAATTATCTAGTAATTACCCAATGGCCTTCCTCTCATTCCATTTTAACCAACATGAATACTTTCCTACAGCCTCCAACTACTCAAATGCTCCAAAGGAATTCAAAATATCACTAATGCATGATGACAAACACTTGCCCTCGGAACTCTCATTCCCAAAGGCCTGCATGAAAGACATTTGTACATTTGGGTGACACATTACCATCTTCAACACTTCTAGACAAACCCATCTTGACCATATCCTTCTCATCCAAACCGTAATATTTAATATTTAAAATGAATTACCAGGAATTTATATTTAATATATCCCCCATCCATATTCAAATTAATTTTTAAATAGCCAGCAAAGTTGACAATAACCAAAAAGACCCACAAAAGCAATCAAATTCTATCAAGTATAATAGAGTAAACTACTTTTCACCCAAAAGCAATATTTCCCTTGCAGGCTTACCAATGGTGTTGCACCCTTACCATCTCTAATATTCACAAACCGACGAAAACCGCTGCAAGGAATTGAATTCTTTTCCGTTTTAAAATTTTCAAAAAGCATCATAACAAATCACCCAAATGAATCAATTAGGGGAGAAATTGATGCCAAAACAGAAAAGTACCAATCAAGAAACAGACACTGGACTAGATTGAGCAGCAGAAAGAATTGCCTTAACACAAGAAGAATGTCCATAGTAGGCAGCATAGTGCAAGCAGGTTCTTCCATAACGAGCATCAAACATTAATACCTGAGAATTTTATTTTATTTTTTAAATTACACGCAAATTTTTTCTTTTTACTTAAAATCAAAAGAAAACGGAACGAACATGAGGGGAAACTTCACATACATTAGAACCCGCTTCAAGGAGCTTTTCCACACAGGCGATCTTTCCATGCATTGCTGCCAACATAAGCGGAGTCTGAATCGATCACAATGCAATGAAAGATAAGTAAAGGAACACTTTGAAGTGGAACCCACATTCATCCATTCCAAAATATGAGCAATAATGGGAATAACACCAAAAAGTTCCCTGCTTTTGGTGATTCAACACATCTGGATTCACGGATCCATCTAAAAGCCTAGATAAAATCTGCAACTTGCCACAAAAACAAGAAAAATGTAAGGACCCACCAATGAATACCCAATCGGGTAAGCAAACGAAATTGACAAGAAACAATACGAAACGAAAAAAAAGGAAGAAAAACCCACCTGGATCTGGCCATTAGCAGCAGCAATATGAAGAGCAGAGTGGTTATCATAGACAGTGGTGTGATGCATAAGAGTTGGGTGTGTCTGTAACAAAGTTGCAACAGTTTCAAGGTCCCCATGCCGCACAGCACGGAAGAGTCCATGTTCATGGCTCCCTCTGCAACTCAGCTTCTGACCCATCCCTTTCTTCTCTATGGCGTATCGTTTCTTTTCTTCACTGACTGCGCCACCTTTAGCAGAGACGGTGGCCTGCAGTTCCACGTTTCCAAATCAAAGCTTCCACATTTATCAAAGCTTCCACGTTTCCAAATCAAATTCAATTCAATTTCTCCTGGACCGGGATTAGCGCCGTACTCGCACCTCCGGCGACGTCCAGCAGAGAATCGCCGTCGACCGGCGGTGGCTTCTTCTTGCTGGGAACAAAGCTTCCTCCTTTCCCCATCAAACAGCAAGAAAATTAAAAACCAAAGAGGAGTGCAGAGTTGCCTAACAATAAAAATTGCAGGTTGGAGAACCAGGGAAACCAGAGAGACAAAACGATTCCTCAAGCACGGGAATCAAATTTTTAAACAAAATTGGGAATGGAAACGCGCTGTTGATACCAGAGGGAATTTCATATTAACATAACATTTAATTTAAAATTAATTCATAATTATATAATTGGAATATCCTTATGTTTTAATTACATAAGATTTATATATTAAATAAATTTTTAGTTTTATTTAATTTAAATTTATTTTCTATATAATTAAAATTTTGTAATTATAATTACATAATTAGAATTTTATTATTATGTTATAATTACATAAAATCTATATATTAAATAAATTTTAAGTTTAAATAAATAAAAATTATATATTAAATCAAATTCGAAATTGCAATGAGTATAAGTGAAAATTTAGAACCACAGTGAATTAAATGATAAATTATTTAAAAACTAAGGATCTAAGTGAGATGTTTAACCGCATAGGAAATCAAATGAAAAATCATATAAATCACAGTGGTTGAAAATGAAGTTATCCTTAAAATAATATGAATGTGTATCATGTAATTATATTTCCAAGTTATCTTAAAACATGATTATCCTTAAATCACACTCAATTCATTGTTTTAAGATGAACATATACTTTATAATTTTTTTATTTCACATAACTTTTTGATATCTACGCAATGACATCTCATTTGACATATTATATCTCTCAAAAACACAGTTCAAATTTGCAACAATGATATTATAAGAGCATTTAAACCCTCGAAGCCTCTGAGTTTTTCTCGAACCAACACCAAACAAAATATTCTTTTTAAAAATCTTAAAATTTTAAAAAATAGTACACAAAGCAAACATCTAACTCTGTTTCCTAGGTAGTGCATGAAGAATGATTTGGTTCTATCTTGCAAGCTCCACCACATCCATTCAAGAGAAATAGGAGCTCGCAGACATAGTGAGAGAGAGTGTGGGAGTTCTTTGTCTTTGTTGAGAACAACAGTGGAAGTGCAAGAGAGCAGGAGAGGGATGTAGCATTTTAAAAAGGGTTTTTGAAAAAATGATAATACAATATATTGTGGTCTCGTTCCGATTCTCCATTTCTTAAACAAAAATTAATACGTGATTTTTATTGGCTCAGAAGTTCGAATAAGATGATTTTTTTTATTCCACATAACTTTTCAATATTTACGCACTAGAAAATTTTCGGAGAATTATTTGTTGATGTTGAGAAGTAAAAAATTAAATAACATCATTCACAAAGATAAAATATGCCAGAAGGAGCATCCAATTGCAGGCTTTTCACGAGACTACTACATTATTTTTTGGTTTATTTTTGTATAAGAGTTTTCGACAGAATGCATTTTTCGTTGAAATTTTTTGACGAAAAATGAATTTCGTCGAAAAATTTATAAATATAATTCCTTTTTACATTTATTTTTTTAGAGAGTTTTCGTCGAAATTCATTTTTCGTAAAAAAATTTCGACGAAATTTATTTTCCATCTAAAAGTTGATAAATATAATTTCTTTTATGTTTTATTTTTTTATAAGAATTTTCGACGGAATTCATTTTCCGTTGAAAATTTTCGAAGAAAAATGAATTTCGTCTAAAAGTTCACAAATATAATTTCTTTTTGATTTATTTTTTATAAAGTTTTTTGCAGAAATCATTTTTCGTCCAAATTTTTTGAAATATAATTTTGTCGACAATTTTCAACGGTATATTATTTCCGTGGAAAACATCGACGAAATAAGTTTTCTGTCGAAATTTTTGTCATTAATTTTGATGGAATATTTTATGTCAAAAATTTCCATAAGAAATTGAGATTTTTTAGTAGTGACTGGAAATCGTGTATTTGTCCTCTAACTTATTGGTTACTAGGATGGTTGCCGCTTTAAATGTTAACACTGGATAGGCGTTTTCTTAACTTTTGAGTCTTGGTTGTTGGGCCTCTTAGGCCATTCATGAGTTGAATCTACGGGTGTTCGCGGTCTGGATTGGATCAATTTTGGAAGCACAAATCATCCAATCTAATCCCTTCGGTTAATCATATAATCATTTATTCGGTTTGAATTTTTTTTTCAAATCCGATCCAATCCAATCCAACTTTATTGGGTTTGGATTGGATGGGATCGGATCGATTTTTGGTTTTTTGAAAAGCCTAAGATTTGTATGATAATTATTATGTAAATAACATATCTTTTGTATATATCGACTTTATAATATTTGTATGATGATTATTGTGTAATCTAGAAGCATTGGACAACAAAAAATTGAATTATCATATTTTACCTCAAACAAAAAATTTATAATATAATTGTCTGGGTTACGAAGTAACCCAAATTTTCATTCTGTATAAGAGCTGTTGTACAACTATAACTCATATGATACAAATATATTATGTATCTTAAAAAAAGAGCATAACATAGATCAAGCACACAACCAACTTTCTCTAACATGATGGGTTAATGGGTATTGGATTTAGAATTTTGCTATATGATTTTTAGGTTATGATTGAGGAAACGCTCAAGTAAGTAGATGGTAAGGTTGGGGAATCATTGGATCGGTTTTCACCAACCCATCCAAAAATCAATCCAATCCAATTAAATTTTGAATTTTTTTTTATTTTCGATTTTTCGGTTTTCAGTTAATTCGATTTTCGGTTAGAATACCGCGGCTTGAATTGATTTTAATCGGTTGATAAACACCCCTAATTGAACCTGATATTCCGCGAGAAGTGGGTTCAAATCACACTCAAATGATAAAAAAAATATGTATGGTGAAGCTAAAATTTATTTTGGAAACAGCATCCGATTCAATATTTCTTACTTTGGTTGACATTTCAAATTATATATTTTGAATCAAGCATTTCAAAGTATATAATAAAAATCTTATCTTGGGGTTAGCTATTATCATGTATAATCTATATAAAAAGACATGAAAAACTAGATGCAAGTTTTTTCTTTTTTTAAAAATCAATCATATATAACTTCTATTTGTTATTAGTTGTAAACTGATGAAAAGAACTCATTTTTTAATTAGAGAAATTAAGAGATTTTTTTCATTCATAAAATTAAGAGATTTAATTACATAAAAAATTATTAGAAAATTATCAAAAAAAAAAAAAACGGATTGTTTGATTCAATAGATTTTTTGACAAGAATTTTTAACATATTAATTTAGAAAAATATAAAAAAAACAATTAAAATAAATTAAACATAATTTTATACAAATTAAAGTATATCAAAATATAAATTAAATTTTGATCCTTTAAAAAAATAAATTTATATTAAAGTAGGATATGAATTTATTTAAATAATTATGAATATATATATATATATATATATATATATATATATATATATATATATATATATATATTATATATATTATATGTTTTGTTCATATTAAATTTGATCGATTCTTGAATTTAAATTGAAGAACTAATCTTATCCAATGAAACTTTCAGTTTTTTATTTTTCTTCTTTTTTTGGTTTAATTTTTTATTTTCTTTCAATTGATTTAATTATAAATATCTATAAAACTAAATATTATATGAAATATAAATTTAATTTGATATTATAAAATTTATTTTTGACATATATCATAGTATTGAAAGTTAATTTAAACTAATATTTTTATTTTGATTTATTAGACAAGGAAGCATCGGCAATATCACCACTTTTGGATCTTTTTCCTTATTGTTTTTACAACTAAGCATATTAGTATTTTTCAATGATATTTTTTCATTATTATTTCTAAAACTAATTACCTTATCATCATAATTTTTTATTTTTTCGATTGTCGTTATCATTTAATATTTTCCAATGATATTTCTTCAATTTGAATTCTCTCTTTTTTTCATAATTATTTTTATAACTCATCAATCTATTATCATTATTTGGTGTTTTTTTTAATAGTATCCCATCGTATATTTGCATAATTAAAAGAAGACAATCATTATTTGGTAACATTAATCAACTTGATTTCTGTACCCACCACTACCAATTATTATTATTATTATTATATTTATTATTATTATTTTTTATTATTATTATTATGTGGATGTAATAATAGATAATATGACTTTACTCAATGAAAAAAAGATATAAAAATCAAATTTTTAACATGACTTTACTCAATGAATCAAGTTTCTCGATTGCATATTAAAGTGCAATTAATATGTTTCTTAAGAAAAAACCGATGAGTTCTTATTTGGTTGTTTGGTTCCTTGTAAATGCTTGGTCAGTTTAAGAAACTTAAATGAAGCATTAAAAGCAAAAATACAAGCTGCTTTTCCAAGTTGACTTTGGTACTTGATATATAATGTTTGGTAAAAAAAAATTACACCCGCTTTACGTATAACAATAATATGTGTATGATATGATTTTCCACATTTGATGTTTTTATCTTTTGTATGGTTATATTTTTTCATATATATTTAATAATTTTAAATATATATATATGACAAATATTTGACTGTTGCACACTAAGGGCCTGTTTGGTGTGATATATAAGACTTGATAGTATAAGCTTATACTATATGTTATGACATTTTCAGTTGTTTGATGTGATCTTCGTATAGTATAAGCTTATACAACATAACCCTTTAATACATCAAAATGATGTATAACTTAATCAAGTCTAAGGAGATGAGATTAGGCCTGATAAGGGATTGATGTATTAATATTGCTTACAAGCACAATTTTCAAGAACTAATATATCATTTCAATATTAATATATTAAAATAATTTTTTTAATATATTAATTTTTAAAATATTGGAGGATATTATCTT